ATTCCCGGAAACTCTCATTTCAATCCACTTCTACTTTGTTCAAAATTGAAGAAAGCGTAAATTTATCAGTGTCGGAGTTCATGGGCTGGAAAGTGGTAGAACTACTGTCATCAGAGCAAACATTATTATCTTTCATATCAAATGTCAGGCGTTTAGGTAGTTTTCATTAGCCCTCTAGCTGACTTCCGACTTCACAGAGGGGGGGGGACAGACAAAGTAGCAAAATGTGATGAGGGGGGAGCAGAAGAGGGATTCACAGATGTAAAAGAGACAGACACACAAAGGAAGGGAAAAGTTAAGGTGAGTACTGTGGAAGGGGTCGAATATGACATACAGTGGGGTGATGGTAGTTTGAAGTCAGAAGTCAACTGCCGGTTAATAGACTCTTTTGCCGTATGAGTATACGTTGCTCAGGGTGCACCACGTAGAGGTAAGTCTATCACGCACCCCACAGCACAAACATAATATTTAGCAAAACAATTCTCTAAGATGTTAAACCGGTGTAAGCCTTGTACTTATTTGGAGTTCACCACTGCGTTTAGTCTTCCACCCATCACAAAGCCTGCAATTGGTCAAACACGATGGTTCTCTCTTTTCAATTTTTTCCCTGATCTTGCTTAAATATTACTCACCTTATCAGGATATCCACCGTTTTTGTCCTAGATCATTAATCTCTTCGTGGCTGTCATCATGGACAACTTTGATTACCTCACTCGCGATTGGTCAATCCTGGGTCCACATCATTTGGATGAATTCGTTCGGCTTTGGTCCGAATACGATCCAGAGGCAAAGTAAAGTTTGCAATGCCTTTACTCTCTTTAATAAACTTAAATTTCATGTCTCAGCAGTTTTAAGCCCATAAATACCTTATTTATTATGGTAAACTTTATAGTTAATGTTCATCAATGAGAAGACGTTTCATGTAAAAATGTTGTTTTCTACTTCAAAACATTTCCAATATGTGTTTCAAGTTGAAAAGTTCTTACCTATTCACGTTTTTATCTCGATGAGTTCTCTTTTATTTAAAATGATGCATTTGTTGGCGCAGTTCTGGCTTGTTTAAAGTGTGGCATTCCTCATTGATCGCAAAGATTACTCTAACATTGTCATCATCATGAGGCTGTAAGGTCAAATCTTTCAGCACGCAGCTTTGACCACCACCTTTTTATGAATATTAATAGATGTCAAATAAAGAGAATAAGAAAAGTTTGATTAAAACAAAAAGGCCGCATATTTTTCTGTAATTATTTTTTTTGTTTTGTCAAATTTCAGAGGAAGAATAAAACACTTGGACGTGGTGACGCTTCTTCGCAAAATATCACCACCTTTGGGGTTTGGAAAACTGTGTCCGCATCGAACAGCTTGCGTGGTAAGCAGACATTTTGAATTCATAGAGCTCATTTTAAAAATATCTTGTTCTTTCTTGTGTGGATATTATCGTACCTTCGGCTCCAATTGTGCGAAGGTTACAATGATCCCATTGTTGATCCGTTGAATTAGCAATAGAGTTCATTGTGAGGCGCCTATTATTCTGATATATATTTATTGACAAAAACTTTATCTATGTGCCTAATAGAATTATATTATCAATAGGAAAACTAGTATTGGACGACCCTTTACATTTCAAGTAACGAATTTCATTATTCGCCTTTTGGTGCATGGAATTATTGCCTGTCCACATTGTCCAGTACTAATTGGCCATCTAACTAATTGAGATGATGGGTTTTGCCCTTCAATTCATCTCTTTCTTCAATGGTTGAGAAACGGGCCGTTCTTACATAATTTAAGGTAACTTTTATAATTTACCTCGACGTTTATCCACTTGGGATTAACTAGCAGTAATAGCAATCAGCACAGTTTGTTAAATACGTGTTGATTATCTAAAATTTGTGTTAAATTATGGGAAAATGTCAAATATCTCATCTCAATATTCGTTATCGTTCATATTTTATTAAAAACCTGATTTTCTGAAATATGAATCGTTCTTCTATCCTATTCCCTTCCAGACCCTTGTAAGAATGAACATGCCGCTGAACAGTGACGGAACTGTTATGTTCAATGCAACTCTCTTTGCTCTGGTACGAACCAACTTGAAGATCAAAACCGAAGGTATGATTAGCCCCCCTCCTCAACGCAACTTTTAACCTGAGTTCAAGCAACTTTCAAGCTTGAATTGGTTACTTTGAGGGAATCCATAGTATAATCACTGAAATGGTGTCACCAATCCGATAATTGAAAACCCCATCGAACTGAATGCCTACCTTAGTGTAAAGAGGTTAATTTCATCCGCGGTTTAATTTCTTGCAGTTTATCAACTTTAGCCGCACATCTGTTCCGTCACATCATCTGCAAGGTGAGAACGAGTCTAGACACTTTCACCCCAAACTTTTAAGTGATCTCAGTTTCCAGAGCTCCTCCATTCATTTGAATTTGTTGTATGGGATGAAGGCTAATTTCATTGGTCTGAACATTACACTTCGAGATATACCTTTATGGGAGCATAGAAACTGTCATTCAAGTGTATTGTGCTCAAGTACAAAAGCCCTATTGAGAGTAACATTATAATTTTAGTCCAAAATCCTGTACTGATTTTAAATGGCAAGAATCTTATAAAATCAGGTTTGGATTCGGAGGAATAGTTATTTAATGTTTCAACAATAAAGAAACACCTTGGTGACCAAATCGAATTCCTCCCTCTCCTTATTGATTATTTCGCTCATTGGGTGTGCAGAGGCCAGCTTGCGTTTATTGATTATCTATCAGTGGACATATCACAGTCAACATTGAGGGACATCACACACCTTTAATCCATGCAATCACTCCATGACGATTAGACGCCTTATTTCTGTGTAATTCACCCTCCACACAAATTCCCTCGTTAAAAGCCCTTAATTGTAGAATTTACCCCATAAGTATAATAGCCTTTTACGTAAGTCACTTTGTGGTCACAAATATCTAACTACTCTGATTTGTTAAAAAATTCTGCAATTCTAAATGTGCCATTAAGATTCAAATTTGTGATATTGATATAAGCTGACATAGTTAATAACTCATGCAACTTCTTTCTATCTTTCTTATTTGTTTAAGCTGTCCAAACAAATGTTCCCCTAGAACAAATTCTTCAATCTTTCTCTGCTTATCCCAATAATTAAAATCTGCCGTCGATTTTATTTTCTTTTTTCACCTCTTAACTCTCGACTCAATTCTACGTTCAGAGCGAAATTCACCTCTGACTACACTCTTTCAGGCTACCAACGATTAAACTGATGTATTTATTTTATTTATTTATTTATATCAAATAGCAAGCGTTTTGATGGTTATCATTAGCCCTTTAGTTGACT